CTAGTAAACAAATGACGCCATTCATGATTTCACATGTGATGTGATGATCACTGGGTTCCGTGTTCTTGAAGTGTCCCGTAAAATCAAAACAATAAATAAAAGCTCGTTAGTTTAGGGGTTTGGGTGAGAGTTTTAGCAAGAGTTCTTAACCCAAATTTTGGTGAGGAATTTTTTTTGTTAGAACATGAAGAGGTTTAATAAGCAAAATTATGAGCTACAAACGATTTTTTAAAACATCGCGATTTCACGTTACACCTGATATTATAATCTGAATGGCCGATCAGGTGGGTACGCTACAGCGCAAATTACAAAAAATGTAAATTATTTATAATAAATAATTGCTACCTTTCTTTACTCTTCGCATATTCAACAGTTGAATTAATTAAATAATCATAATGAGGATTTATAATGGCTCCTAAAATTAAGGACGGATTTGTAGTCGCGTCTTGAGGATGAAAGTTTTTAATTGCTATAAAATTTAAAAAATTACAATGTTCGTTAAATTAAAAAATTAATTTAAGTGATAACTGAAATTATTAATAGAACGCACACTCAAAATCACCAGAGTCGCCAACAATTGTGGTCCATTGTTTTATTTGATCAAGAACTGAAATCATGATTTTTATTTAGCAATTTTTAGCAGATGTTGTAGAGATATATGTTTTTTAAGACTTAAAATTTTGTAAAGAATAAGAATCTAAAATTCACCTCTTTTTATATAAATCTGAGCATAGAGTAGAACTATTACAACTAAATGCTATATTACGCAATTCACCTAACCATAATGGGTAAAAATCATAATTTACTAAATCATTACGGCGACTTTTTATATTATCTTAAAATTATGACGCATATTTGACGAATGAGTTAAATATGTAATAGATATTTCACGGGCTGTTGTGAACATGATGGATTTGCACGGCAGAGCTGTGGTAATACATTGCGTTCATGACACACCGTGAAATATCTTTTATATCTCACGGTTTCTATAATTATTATTAATTAAGAAAATCAAATAGTTATTCGGGTTCTTAATTTAGGCCCAATTACAAAAAGTTACAGTTATGTATTAAAGCTTTTACTCGGATTGTCTGATCGTGTAGGTTAGCTTCTTGAGGGGTCACGTATTTCCCGAAGTAGAAAATGAATGAACTCAATCAGAAACAAGATCGAAAAATTTTTTAATATAAGTCCGAAAAATACTGTTTAAATATTTGGAGTACAGGCTAGAGTTGTTGGTGAAACTAATTAATTTCACCAGGAAACTGGTGCTCCAATGGTGCACCATTGAAGATTAGTTTTATCTATAACTCTCGTTTTACCACTGATGCACCAGCTTCACCAGTTTCACCTGGTGCACCATTGGAGCACCATTGAAAATTAGTTTCACCTGCAACTCTAGTACAGGCTGCTTTCTATACTAACAGCTTTAATCAAGAGTTGTTACATTAACTTTTAAGGATTAACTTCAAAAACTTTATGAATTTTCATTTGACCCGTTGACCCGGGTTATAACCCGGGTAAGAGCTCTAGCATAGAGATTGGAACCGATTAGTTTCGATCGTTTGATCACAAACATCATGAAGTTTATTAAAGTACACTGGTAAAATTTAAAAAAATTTGCCATGTTGAATGGCACGATTAGAATGACAGTTTGAGTGGCATTCGAATCATGCCATTCAACACAGCGAATTTTTTAAATTTTACTAGTGGTACTTAACAAGCACTTATGTACTTAAAAAATTGAGTACCACAAAAGATTATATGCAAGACCCGGGTCTGTTACATTCCACCAATTTTAAACCCTATAGTAGACCCGGGTCTGGTACACAGCTGAGCGTTTATATCGTAGCAAGACAAATTTTCAAGTAATAAGCTATCTAGGTTTTTAAATCATCTACATTTATTTAATAGAGATCCTGTGGTTCATACACGATTCTAATTCATAGGGGTATGATCTTTCTACGGTACTTAATAGATATAAAATTTAATTAGCAATCCACATAAGAACGATAGTATTATTATATGTTTTTTATATAGTTCTGAAAGTTTTTTTTCCTTATCCATTAAGAAAAATTCTATATAATAAAAAATTTAAAATATTGATATCTTAGAAGTTACTAAACCAATTTTAATAATTTTTTTACATTATATGTAAAAATGGTTTTTCTACATATTTTGCTAAAAATTGAAGTATATTAGCTTAGTAAAAAAAATAGTTAGCTATGGAGGAAATAAAAATTTCATAATTATAATAAATTTAATAGTAATTTGCGCATATAAAATACTATCTATCTTAGGTGAATTAGCAATTAATACTTATCTAGTCTTATATTTAGTGAATACAATCTTGCAGTTGGTACAACTTTCTGATTAGCTCTAGAATTTCGAGCATCAGTTGATCGAAAATTCGAATGTTCATTGAGTTTTTTAAAATTCAAAAACTTATGCAAAAAATTTAATGTAACATTTATTATTATGCAGCCATGTTATTGACGATTGCACTAAATATTCTCATATTTTTGCAATTTATGTCATTGTTTTATCTTTTTTTTTTATAGCTTAGAAAAAAAAAGGGAATGAAAGGGAAAAGTTTAAATTGATGGCATACAGTAAATATATGAATATGAGAAAATAGTATAATCGTCAATAACTGTTTCATAATGATATCGTGTTATAAAAAATATTCACCTACGTGCATATTTTTACAACTTGCACAATGACTATCTATGAAAATTGTATTTATCATTATCAAAATACATTTAAATTTTAGCTTTGACCAACGCTAGATGATAACCGAATTAAAGACTCAATGAATAAAAGCTTATTTCGATGCTCGAAATTTTTGACTGATGATCGAATAATTACCACCCTCTATCTGAACAGATTATGTAGAGCAGGATAAAAGATGTGAGAATCAATAACTACAATAGGATAAGGATATTATTTAAACAAAATAAGATGATAGAGAAACTGATAATGAACGATAATGTGTAAGAATATTCACAGATAAATTGAAGTTCGACAGGGAATTTCCCTGCTACTACCAAATTTTGGCTCTAAAAGAGATCAATAGAGTATCAATCAGAACGAAAATATTCAATAGGGTACTAATAGGATACCAATAGGGTGTTACGGACTAAATTAATGTGAATGAAATGAAATTAAATAATAAATATTTATGAAGCTTATTGCAAATATTAGATTAATGAATATTCTTTAAATATATCTCTTAATTAACATGAATAAAATGAAATTAAGTAGTAAAATACTTAATAGACTAGTATGTAACCCGTCGCGTTGCTCCAATTCGATTACTGTATTTTACTTCATAAACACTATTTTTATTGCACGTATCAAATCTGTGACAGGTTATGTCGATCACCGAATCGAAAGAACTTAAGTGCAGATTTTGATTTACTTTATATTTGATATCAAGGTATACTCATATACCTAAAATTTCGTGCTGAAAACTTTTGTTTAAAAGTCAACCTACGGTTATCATAGTAAAATCTTGAGTTATTTACGATTTTTTTGTTTTCTCATTGGGAAAACAGAAAATCGTATATAACTCAAGATTTTACTATGATAACCGTAGTTTGACTTCTAAACAAAGTTTTCAGCACGAATTTTTAGGTATATGAGTATACCTTAATATCAAATATAAAGTAATTAAAATCTGCACTTAGGCTCTTTCGATTCGGTGATCGACATAACCTGTCACAGATTTGATACGTGCTACCTATCCTTACATCGCGTCCAATTAAATCCTAATAAAAATCTGACATTACATAGATCATTAATTTTAATTGGTACGTATGTCGTTTACGTCCTAATGTGTTTTAGAATTGCTTTGTTTATAAATTTTGATAAATGTTTATACTGCATTTATAAATTATTGACTATGATCATGTAATAAAGTCCAAAGCATAGTGACAATAGAACTTTTAGTTAGCATCGTTAGTCATGATAGAATGAATTCAGTTGGTTATATAAATCATGCAAAATGTTAATAAATTATTAGAGCATGACAGAATTCATTGTCAGAAGTATAGTATATCGATATGGAATATTTCTTTAATTAATTCTGTAATTTTGATTGGCTGATAGCCATGCATTGATATTACCCGAATATAACCTCGTTAACGTTAACCTCTTACCTCAATAGGATATAAAACCGGTCATTAACGTTAAATTTTATTAAAGGTTATAACCTTTCGGGTAACCGGGTACGACCACTAGTACACGTTTTTTGATCCACTTTTTAAAAACATTAAGCTTCGGACACAACATAGCGGGCTTTCATTCTTATTGGCTAATTTTTGTAGATCATCTGATGACGATACAAAATCTGATTGGCTAAT